ATAAAAAAAAAATATGTGTATATATATACATTGTGCTGTTGAGTTGTCTCCAACTCATAGCAACCCCTCCTTGGGTTTTCGAGGCAGTATCACTATGGAAGTAGATTGCCCAATCTGCCTTCTGAGGAGTGGCTGGTAGGTTTGAACCGCCAACCTTCTGGTTAGCAGTCAAGTACCTTAGGCACACATACACTGTGTGCGACCATCACTAAATCGATGATCTCAAACTGCAATATCAGTACGAAAAACACCAGACTAGGTGACATGTGAAACTTCTACTGCTAACATCTTCTATCACCTCAAAGCAAGCTGTAGATAAAAGGAGCTACAAGGGGCCGCACAACCTCTGAACTTAGTAACTAAAAATTCATTTTCCTAGCATAAATACTCACTAACAGGAAAGACCTTCCTCCCCTCAATGAAGTTTAAGAATTAAAAGAAAAAAAGCTGCTTCTGAAACAGCAGCAGGAGTCCGTACCTACAGCATCACTGTTTTCCAGAGCAGCCAGTAACTGCTTTGAGACCTTAATCACCATCTGCATATTTCCAAAAAGACCCTCGAAATCAACGTGTGGGATCTGAGAAAGGGAAGCAAAACACAAGGACGCATGAAGAAGAAATTAACGCCATGATCACTCACACCAGAAGCATCTCTTCCAGGGCTGTACAGATGCTGCTTGAGGTCACCTTCTCCACTCACTCAGGCAGTCTCCGGAATAAAAGCATCTAACATCATCTTTACTAGCAACTTCTGTCCTTGGTCCCATTATTTCCCACTCCTCAGCCCCACCTTACTAAACTGACTGCAGAACCAATTTGGTCCATAATTGTGCTGGGATACGAATTCCCACCCAGCACCCAAAATTGGATGGCACTGCCCACATCCGACGGAAGAACCTGGGAATGATTGCTCCAAAGTACACACCCAAGCCCAGGTGATCAAGTAACAAGCCACAAGGGCGGTAAACCCCCAGGGACTGTTAGCCTTGTCTTAAATCTCCAGCATCTAGAAAGTGCCAAGCATGTGCGCATGGCAGACCGTTAGAAAGGGTTTCCTGAGTAAGTGAAGGAACTTACAAACAGGTTCCAGACTTCATTATATTATCACATGGTCTTCCTAGTAAAGCAACAATTCAGTCTTCCTGAAACTGTTCATGA